TGTTTTTTGGATTGTCTCTACTTGGATCCATGTTTTTGAAATGTTTTATTTGTGTTTAACAGCTCAAAAGACAATATAAATGGGAAAGTAGTTACCATATATGCTCCAAGTATGATTGTGTTCTTCTTAAAAAAAATCAAACTTTCCAAATCTCATTTATGTTTCTGTTTATGTTTGACATGTTATTTGTATGATTATAATGTCATGCTAATTTATGTTTCCAAATATGGTTAACATGTTGTTTGTGGAATTATAATGTCATGCTATTTTATGTTGCCAACTTTGGTTAACGTGTTGTTTGTCGGATTACAATGACATGCTAGTATATGTTATTAAATTTAGTTAACATGTTTTTATAGGATTACAATATCATGCTAATACATGACTTGTAGGGAAGAAGAATGAAAAAAATTAGCTCAAGAAAGTGCATATTATGGGTGTGATTCACATATTGTTTGTGTTTCTATGAAGAAAATATACAACGTGTGTGAAGCAAAAGTTAAAGTTGCAAACTTGTGTGAAAGACCCAGAATGACATCTATTCAAATTTAACAAAATTTTGCAACTCTCACTTAAGCTTCATCCTCCTTTTATTGTAGATGCCATTCTTAGACAAGTAGATCATTTCTTTGTCTTCTTTCTCCATGAATATTTTCAATAAAATGTATGTTTGTGAAACATTTTATATTGTAATGTTTTTGTATGTTCTAGAATAAACTTGTTTTATGCGGCTAGATAAGATTTAGTTCGGCTTTAATTCCAGTTAAGCTTATTATATCATATGTGGATTGCTTGTTTCACTAACCCTCCACTGAACATATGTGTTCATTTAATTTGATTTAGAAAATGATAATCTGAAATTTAAGTTATATTTGAAAATCAACTTAGATCAATCAATATTTTTCGAATTGCATGCATCTTGTAATTCATCTCTCGCTCATTTACATATAGAATTTGGTTAAATGTACCAAGTTATTCAAAGCAATAGTTCTTCTCTTCTAAGTTTATTTTCCAAAGCATCAAATTTGTTGAGAAATTCCAATTTATCATCATCATTGTCATCATCATCCTTATTTAAGATAATGTTGATGATAGTGATGACGATGAATCAAAATTAGTCACCGAATTGTTGCTTTTCAAAATAAACTAGACGATAAGGAATCGTTTATTTGAAGAACTTAGGGCATTGAACCAAATTCTATATGTTAAAGAGTTAGAAATGAATTACAAGATGCATGCAATTCGAAAAACAGTAGATCGTTTAAGTTTTTTTCAAGAATAATTTAATTTTTCAAATTATTATCTTTAAATCAATTTGAATGGATGTATATGTTTATTGAGGGGTAAAGAAAAATAAGAAATCCACATATTTTATAATAAAATATTATACATACCACCACGGTTGGAATATATAATTATGGTGAAATGTTAATATTACGCGCGCTTTAATTAAATTGTTGATGCTAGGTTTCAAACACATGATATATATATATATATATATATATATATATATATATATATATATATATATATATATATATATATATATATATATATATATATATATATATATATATATATATATATATATATATATATATATATATATGTCACAACGATTATTTGCTATAATCGTTGTGATTGGTAACACGCTACCTAGTTTATCACCGCAGTCAATCGGCCGTGGTGGAAAGCAGCATATTTACAACCACACCCTATCTAACCACAGTTGGTCAACTGTCATGGTATCCCTTTTCCAATCGTACTGAAAGGGTCTTTATGTAGTAGTTCAAGAAATATAGAATGGTGTATGATCGAGGAAAGTGTGTGAAGATTTCACATTCAATTATTAATTAATTGGGCATAAGCAATGTTCCATATATTGACAATATTATGACCAAGGAAAAGGGATCTAAGGAAGAAGAAGAAATTGCAGATGAGGATGCGGAAGAATTTTTGTCAAAGCATTGAAGTATAATGATTTCATGGAGCTTTATAGTGATGCTCAATTATTGAAACAATGTTGGATGCTGGAGCATGTGATCCTAGGCTGATGGAAGATACTGATGTTAAGAATGATGGTTTTTCTCATGGTTTGTTGAGATTCAGTTATAAGTTGTTTTCTAGGTAAGATGTCTCAAACATCATGTCCAACATATGTGTACAATTTGATGAATCTGATCTAGTTTTTGATGAAGAAATGTTGAAGCTTTTTCACCTCAACTTGTTGTTGTTGCTACTGAAAGTGTGCGTGGGAGATGATGATACGATGATCTTCAAGAAATGATGTTGCTTCTATCTGGTGTTCATAATTAGTTGAGTTGTTGTTATCTAAGAAATAATGTTCCTTCATTGATAATGTTTATGATAATCTTTGTCTCTTGTGCACTAACTGTGGTGCAATCTTGAAGAAATGTTTAATCTATGATTTTCCAAAAAAAAAAAAATAGTCAAAGGTGGATGTTGTTTCTTTGATTGACTTATAGCCAAAATGGATAGAAAAATGTTTGGAACATGTTGTGTGACATTTTGGCGTGCATCCTATACTGGTTGGATTCTCATGCACTCCAAATTTGTTTCAAGTTTGCTCAAGTCCAAAGTTTGTTCAAGTCCATGTTTTGTTCAAGTCCAAGTTTATGTTGTACTTCTTTGAAAGACAGACTTGGATTATTTAAGAAGACTTGGAAGATTAAATTTTCATTAAAGAATAAGCCTACACTTATTCTGAAGATAAACCTATTCATATGATGATGAAGACTGGGTTAATTTTATTTCATCATAAGATATTTTAGCTTTCTATTATGATATTCTAGCTTTAACCCTGATGGTCTGGCTTTCTGTACATCATATTTGCTCATGGTTTTTTTTTATAGTTTATACTCCTGATTTTGTGTGTGCTTTTGACTGACAAGTTCACTGGTTGTACTCATGTCTAATATTGACAAAGCTGATGTTAAATGTGTTAATGGAGCTTTTCCAAATTATGGCAAAAAAGGGGAGTAATAGTGTGTAAGGGTGGTGTGTTCAAACTACTGCGTATAACTTTGTGGTGTATCAGTATTATTGATATGTTGTTGACTGGTGTGCTTAGTACTAACTAGTGTGTTTGGTACTAACTATTCCGACTTGGTGTGTGCTCACATGCTGGAGCATCTAACATGGCACCCGACCCTTGTGTGAGGTGATTTGTGTGTTAGTAGTATATGTTGATTTTGACTCGACTACTAATTGTGTGTGCATGCATGATTGATTGTGTGATAACATGATTGATTGTATGGAAACATTGTGATTGATGAGTGTGTAGCAACCTCATGAATTTTGACTTGTGATGTTGATGTGTTTTCTGGTGCTACTGATGTGTGCTCTGATTAATTTGTACTTCTGTTGCTGCTGATAGTTGTTCTGAGTATGGGTTACATTTGATACTCAGTTGTGTTTCTGCTTGAAGAGATGTTTTTCTAAAATTTGCCAAAGGGTGAGATTGAAGCTCCTTTTGGATTGACTGCATTATGCAAAACAACATGGAGTGTGTTCAAGTTGTTTCTGGTGGATAAGGGATATATGTGGAACACAATGTTTCAACTTGTGTGCTGCAACATATGGTATCCGACAACGTATAGATGTTATTGCAATTCTGGTTCCGATTTATTTAATCTAAGACTCACTTTACAAAGAAGATTTATCATTCATAAAGAAAGTTAATTTGGATGTTATGGTGCAACATGTCGAACACGATGTTCTAGCATGTGTGTAGTACAACATATGACCATTGTCGGCAGGTCATGATGGATGTTGTTAGGAGTGGAATTTTTTATTGATTTCAATTAGATTTGTTGTATCATTTTTGCAATGCATTTACGTTGATTTGTTTGATTAGATTGGACGCAATTCATTCACTTTAAATTGGTGATTTAAATTTGAATTTGAATTATAATAAATCATATCTTTTAGAGATTTTTTTGTAGAAAACAAATATCAACATAATATTCTGTATTTTCTGGACGAAATCATATCAATTTTTTATTGGAAAAAATCCAGAATAAGCATTGCTATATAAGTAGACACAAACCTAGAGTTTGAAGTATTATTTTTTTAAGACTCTTAGTGTTAGAGTTTCTATTTTTCAATTTTTGTTTGAGTTATTGTGCACCACTCTAACGCCTCCATTCATTTCTTAAAGTTTAGAGGTTGGTTTTCTTGTTGAGTTATAAAACTTTATTCTAAGATATTAATTATGTAAACTTGAAAATAAAGTATTTTTGTTTCTTGTATCCACGATAGTATCATATTAAGATTAGTGTTGGATCTAATTTACCTGCACTATAATATAATTCAGTAATTTAATATAGTTATTGGTGTGTTCCATACATTTCGTCAAACATTTGTCCTCTCCAGAGAACAGAATTTCATATTGCATGTATTTAAGTTTTTGGATTATTGAGCATGGCTTGTGCACAATCTCTTGTAGTCTTCCTTTTTATTATATTATACTATATATGCCCATTCAAAATAAAATAAACTAGTGATGTGTTTATGTTTAAAATTAACATTAATGAAGAGGGCAATGATGTTGTGCAAAAAATATTTAATATTTAGATTGAAATAAAAACCACAACACTTGCTCCCAAGGCCAAGAATAATGTTAAAGGCCAGATGAATACACTTATAATTCAAAATCGGTATCTCGGAAGTAGGCGTTGGTCTTATGAAAAATGAAGACTTTTGATTTTGTAAGAATAAAAAATTACAAATATCAAAATCAAAAATATGTTTTATTTGTAAGAATTAACCATATATTAAATTTTTTTAATATTATGCAGAAACCATTTCATGAAATTAACTGTAAGATAAAATAGTGAGAAAAAGATCAATTCATATATAGAATTAGTTCAGAGTATTTACAACATATACAAACTATGTAAATATAGCTGCTACACCAAAGTTTGACAGGATATGAACATACACTCGAAGGATCAAAGAAAACATAAAACAATCTCTTTTTATCGAGGATGAACTTCAGTAATGGATACATCATTTACAGACCATGGAATTGATCCAGTGGTAGACTGACCAGAATTAAATCCGGGTGATCTTCCACGAAGGAAAGACGGTGGCTGTCGAGGTAAAGACAGTGTAACTGAATAACTGTTGAGCATTAGCGCAACAGTTTCCATGGAAGGTCTGTCATGTGGACTTTCCTGAATACACAATAAACCGATATGGATGCATCTCATAACTTCATTTCTTGAATAAGAATCGCGCAGGGTTGGATCGAGTAACTCCAATGGTGTTTGCTCTGACCATTTTTTCCAAGCCTATGGTATAATACATACTACTGTAAAGCTAGCATTGCATCAAAAGAGCATAAGAAAAAAGTGACACTTTTTATACTCACATAGCTTAAGAGGTCGTCATCAGCATCATTCCATTGATTTGAATCGGTATTCTTCTTGCCGCTTACAATTTCCAAAACTAAGACACCGAAACTGAACACATCTGACTTCACAGAAAATTGTCCACGCATTGCGTATTCTGGAGACATGTAACCGCTGGAAAACAACATTATAATGTAAACTCTCAGATGTGCAAATGACGAATACAAAAAGATGTGAAACTTACTAAGTCCCCACTATTCGTCCTGTATTTACTTGAGTTTGATCTCCTTGAAAAATTCTTGCCATCCCAAAATCCGAAATCTTTGGATTCATATTTTCATCTAATAGAACATTGCTTGCTTTGAGATCACGATGAATAATTCTAAGCTGGGAGTCTTCGTGGAGATAAAGAATCCCTCGAGCGATGCCAACTATAATTTTGTAGCGTTTTGACCAATCTAACTCCCTTTGCTTAGCAGGATCTACAATATTATGTAAAAATAAAAGATCAAGATTAACAACAGTAGGCAGGTACACTAAAATTTCCATCTTCTATACAGAAAAAGGTAACGCTATACCGAATAGAAAGTGATCAAGGCTCTTATTTGGTATGTATTCATAGACAAGAATCTTCTCCCTCCCCTCCAAACAAAATCCAAACATTCTCACTAAATTTCTATGTTGAAGTTTTGCCACTAGAGAAGCTTCATTTTTGAACTCAATTGCACCCTGCAAGGAGGTTACAGACAATCTCTTCACCGCTATCTCATGTCCGTCGGAAAGAATACCCTAAACAAAAACATGATCGGACCAGACTCAAAATTAGTATATCAAAAACTTGTGTCGAAAACATATTCGCATGCCCTAAACAAACTAATCTTTTACCATATAAACCACAGCAGAGTCCAGACCAGTTTTCTCAAATTTAGTATAGAAAAACATGTTTCAACCATTTCACACCAATGAAATTCTTACCTTATAAACCACACCAAATCCACCTTGGCCAATCTTGTTCTCGTCCGAGAAACCATTTGTGGCAGCTTCAATTGTGGCAAAGTCAAATTGCAAACACTCTATATCAGTAAGATCCTCCCTCCGAACTACAAAGACAGTACAATACAATATTCATCTTCAACCAAATTACAATAAGCTGAACCAAAGAAACAAATTAACCAAACAAAATTTGTAAAATTACTTGAAGATGAACCCTGGATGAATGTACTATTATACTTATACTTCCTCCTTGCCCTCTTACGCAGGAAATAGCAGCCAATAATCAAAAGTGCCACAGCAACAACAATTGCGACAACAATCCCAATAATCATAGCGACATTGCTCTTTCCTACACAAGTTCATCACTTTAAAACAGCCCAGAAAAAAATTTAAAACCACGATAATAATATCGTCGTTATATAGATATATAGATACCTGAAGAAGGAAGAGGAAGTTGTGGCCGAGTAGAGACAGCAGAAACATTGTAAAAAGAGTAAAATTCATATCGAATATTACAACTCGGAAGAAGTGATCTTGCACCTCTTTTCCCATCACAACAATTTCCGATAGAACTAATAGCACCTTGCAAACATGTGTTACAGTCAAAAACAGACAAATCAGGTGTACACTGCGCCAAAGAATATACCTTCATAGAACCCAAGAAATTTTCTTCTTTTGTAGAAAATTTCTGACCCGAAGGAGAATTCACAGCTTCATATGCTAAATCCTTCAAAAGATTAGCAAGGAAATCACTGAACTGGGAAACTTGTGTATGAGGAACACTCTCATCAGATTCCATGTCCGTTGCAGGAACCATTTGATTCAAGAAGGAATTATTGGAGTAACGCAACAAACATTCGTCGTACCAGATGATAGACTCGGTCTGGTTGTTACACAAATTCGTGATGTTATTAGCTGCTGCAGTTACACAGCGTTGACAGATAGAGGGAGTGATGTCTGCGCGGCAGAGGAAGAGTCCTTTTAAGTCGTTGGGGGAATTGAAGAGAGGGATGTGGACGGTGTAGAAACCGTTGTGGAGGGTGGAGTTTGAGATGAGGGAAGAGAGAAGAGTTTTTAGAGCGGTTTGGAAAATTGAATTTGGTTTGTAATAAGAGGTGTCTGTGCAGGCGTGGATTGGAGAAGCTTCAAATGGAAATGGAAGTGCAGTTAACAAGGATGCAAGTAGAATCAATTGGGTGGTTGTTGTAGTTGTTGATGATTTGAAGATATGCATCTCTGGTTCTGGTTCTGTATGTTTATTTTCTCTGACTGCAACAGAAGCTACTTAAGATCGATGAGGTAGAAGAGTCAAACACTCGTTTACTTGTCCTTGGTTGGAGGAAACATTACTTTCTGAAAACATTAATATTCAATATGTGACACTATTCTTGGCACTTAAATACCAAGGTACTTTAAAATACTCAATCAAATTTGATGGCTTGAAAATGGTGGATTGAGATATTAACATAGCAAGAACATACTTGATTACATCAGCTAGTACCAACAGAAGACAAACTCATTTTTATTTGTTTGTTTTATCTCGGATTGAAAAGTAATTGAGGTTTCATATTTTCCAACAAAATTTACTTTTGTTTGTTCCGGCTTATGATGAAATTTAGAGGCCATAGTCCGAAGCACAGATATCTAGAACACGACACTAACACAGAAACGGCAATACCGGTAAAAAAAATTTTAAAAATGAATAAATTAAATGTAATCACTAAGTGTCAGTGCCGCGACAAGGACACGATACAGACACGTCTTTTTTCAGACTTGTTGATGCTACAGAGACCATAGTCTTTGATAAATATTGTGTCATTATTCTTGAGTTACAGAAACCTTATATCTTATAACATGCTGTGTTTCTGCTGCAACTAGAGGAGTGACACTATGACAGATAAATGTTATTATTTCCACACTGAAAAATAAGCCAATACACAATATTACAAATTTACAAGGAGACGACACTCCTAAAATCTCCTCATATTTTCTAGCTTTATCATTATCTAATTACAAATACAAATCTCATTGACAGACTTTGGTATTCAATTGCTATTATCAGATTGACTAATCTGTATTGTTGGCATGTGAGGATCAGCTCCACTCTGTAGAAAAAATGCAGGCTGCTTCGGTACCGGTAGGGTAACAGTGTGACTATCAAGCATGAGCACTATTGTTGCCATTGTAGGTCTATCGTCTGGATCTTCTTGGACACATAATAAACCAATATGGATGCATCTTATAGCTTCATTTGGAGTATAGGATTCTCTTATTGTATGGTCCACCAATTCCAAAGGTGTTCCGTTCTTCCAAAGTTTCCAAGCCTGTTTCAAGTTTTCATCAAGCATTTGTTATATATGATCACAAATCACTATACAGTAAGAAAAAATAAAACTCAAATAAAATTTACACTTTTCTCTACTCACATAGTTCACTAAATCCTCAGCAAATCCTGTTTCATAGAAAGAGCTGTTCTTCTTGCCACTTATAATCTCCATAATGAGAACTCCGAAACTATATACATCAGACTTAATAGAGAAATCTCCATGCATTGCATACTCTGGAGACATGTAACCACTGAAACACAGACACATTTTACCATCAATATTAGGATCCTGGAAGCATGATGGTGCTCTTTTATTTTTCTTTGAATTGAACTATATTCAGTTATTTATGACTGTTATGTTGTTTATAAGTGTTTTCATTAATATATAAAGAATGATAATGGAAACTTGTACTTACTATGTCCCGACTATCCTACTGGTATTTCCTTGAGTTTGATCCACTCCAAATAATTTTGCCATGCCAAAATCAGAGATTTTTGGATTCATATCTCCATCCAACAAAATGTTGCTAGCTTTGAGATCACGGTGAATAATTTTAAGCCTGGAATCTTCATGAAGATATTGAATACCCCGAGCAATCCCTCCAATAATCTTGTAACGCTTTGTCCAATACAACAACCTTTGTTTTTCAGGATCTGCACAAATAATCCATTCATAAGATTATTGTCTCCAATAAAAGTAAATCAGTCTAATGAAACAAAAATTCATCAAGGAATTCTCTTTTTTACAGATTTCCTCAAATTTTGTGTTATTACTAATGATCGAGATAAACTCGGGCAAACTAAAATCAATGCATGCATATAAACTGTGAACTAAAAAGAATTCGGATAAGATAAGCCTACCAAAAAGAATATAGTCAAGACTTTTGTTGGCTACAAATTCATAAACAAGTATCTTTTCTTCTCTTTCCAAGCAAAATCCTAGAAGCCTAGCTAAATTTCTATGTTGAAGCTGTGCAACCAGTTCAACTTCATTCTTAAATTGTTCTCCACCTTGTCCCGAGTGTTTAGAGAGTCTCTTGACAGCAATCTGTTGCCCGCTCGGAAGCACGCCCTGAAATTTCACAAAAGTTAAACGGAATATAATACAACAATTGGTATAATTTCCATGTTTTAAAGAATCAAAAGCATGTTAACTTCATACCTTGTAAACCTCGCCAAATCCACCTTCGCCTAGCTTATTAGAATCTGAGAATTTGTTTGTAGCTTCTTCAAGTGTACTCAAATCAAATCTCAAGGATTCCACAGCCGTAATATCGGTTTCAGCTAAGAAGCAAAAATTATAGGTCTATCAGATAGTTATAACTTACAATCACAGATTATGCAATTACGAAACAAATTAAGAGTAAGTTTTTTTATTCAATTAACTCACACCCTTACTTTTCGGATCCCGTGCTACAGCAGAGTCATGCTTCTTCTTCCTCCCTCTTATACATAAGAAACAAATTCCTACGATAAATAGCAGCGCGACAACTGTAATTGGAACCACAATTGCAACAATTGTCCCTGGTGAGATCCCACTACCACCTGCAAAATTCCAAAATGAAGTGATCAAACTCTTGCCGGTTGCCACAAAGCTTGCACATATTCTGTTAAAGATTATCATTCAAAACTTAATAGTAGTTGTTAGAAATTAATCAAAATTACCTCCCAAATTAGAAGTGTTTGTTGAAGGAACAATCCCTGGTGGTGCTGAAGACGCCGGTGGCGTTGAAGGTGGTGGTGAGGGAGTAGTGCTTGTATAAAAAGGGTACAATTCATACCTAATATAACAGCTAGGAAATAAAACTCTTCCTCCTTGTTTTCCAGTACAGCACCGTGGAAGAGCTCCAATGGCAACACTAAGACATGAACTGCAGTCTTCTTGAGATAAATCGTCTGTACACTGAGCCATACAGTATAGCGTCTGAAATCCAGAGATCCTAGCTTCCTTTGTAGCATATTTCTTAGCACCAACAGAAGAATTCGAAGCTTTATTTGCTGTTTCGTTCATGGTAACCGGCAACAAACTCATGAAGCTTTCTTGGTTAGTGATATTAGCGGTGTTGATTAGGAAAACACCTGGACGTGTAGCGACGGTGGAGAAAAAAGAGTCGTTGGAGTACCGAACCATGCACTCGTCGTACCAGATTACTGCTTGTTTGGATAAGGAACAGTCTGAGTCTGTGGATAGTGTCTGTGTTGCGTTTGCGACGCATTGCTGGCAGGAGGAAGATGAAACGTCGCCTCTGCACATGAAGAGACCGTAAGCGGTGTTTGAAGGGTTTTTGCTAGGGATTGTGGTGTTGTAGAATTCATTGTTGTTGGTGGCGTTGGAAGATAGTGAAGAGAAAAGGGTTTTGAGCTTTCTTTCGTAGGTGCTGTTGGTGTTTGTTTTGATTTTTGAACAATTTTGGTAGAGGAAAGTGGGGGTGGCTTTAACAGTTGAGGTAAAGAGAAAGGTCGTGAGGAAGAAGAACAGGAGTTTTGCAGAGATGGTGGAATTCATGGTTGTGTTAATGTTTGTGAGAATGAAAATTTTGTTAAGGTTTGTGATGGTTAAAAATGAAGAGGAAAAGTCAAGTCAAGTCAACCTTGTTGTTGTTGTTACTATTATGTATGATGGAGTTAAGTCATTGTCGGAGAGTATTTTCTTGTGAAAAATGTTGTTTGTTTATTTATTGTTTGAAAAGTGTTCATCACTCGGTTGAAATTGTTGTATATGAGGAAAGGTCAAAGAGAGTGAGGAAAACTGTGAGGACACGGAAATTTCGGACTGCTGAGCTGGCTGACGACCATGATTCCCCTGAGAATTGATACCAAACAAATTTCATTTCATTAGATGATACGGTAGGGTTGGGGTTGGAATCGGTCTAAATTTAAATTGGAGAAGAAAACCCAAAAGATAGTAAAACAACCACAGATTAAGCAACCATTAAAATAAGAACAACAATCATTAATATGAGAAAGAAATAGAACAACCACAAGTTATGTAAAATAGAACAATGTATTGTGTGGGTCACCAAAATAAGTGAGCCCACTTAATCTTATTATTATTATTATTAAAAGAAAAGAAGAAAAAAAAAGGAATTAGTTTTGTGGGCCAAAGTCCATGAAATGGTTAAAAGGGTTTTAACCCTTGTGTGTTAGATATAACAGCAGTAAGAGGGAAGAGAGCTGCAACGTGAGCGACTCTACAGACAGAGAGAAAAATATCAAAGAGTGTCTCTTTATTGTTGTGTCGTAGATTTGATATCCACCTTGTACGGTGAAGATTATTTTTTCTCTGTTGTTATCCCTGGTGGTTCCAGGAGGACTTGTGGTGTACCCATTAATTTATTAGTGGAAGATTTACTGGCTTGGTCCCGTGGGTTGTTTTCCCTTTAAGGGTTTTTTCCCACGTTAATAATTCTGGTGTCTCCTTATTTTATTTGCTCTATTTTGTACTTATTATCGTTGTCTGAGCAATTTTGTTTGGAGCTTATTTTTAACTGCACGCAGGGGAAAAGGGGAAAAGTTGATCCAGCAGCTTCCGCATTTTATTACTATCTCCTATATTTGTTTTCTTTCCCAACCGTGGTATCAGAGCTCCTTGGTTGGAGTTCTGTTTGGTGCTATTAAAATGGGTGAAGGTGATATGGCTGGTACTATGCTGAAATTGGATTCTTCCAATTATTCTATTTGGAAATCCCGTATGGAAGACTTGTTGTTCTGTAAGGACTTGTATGATCCCATTGACGGAGACGGTACTAAGCCAGATGATAAATCTGTTGCAGAATGGACAAAGGCAAACAGAAAAACAATTGGCATGATCAGGCAATGGATAGATCAGAGCATTTATCATCATGTGTCTAGTGAGACTAGTGCCCACAGCCTGTGGAAGAAATTGAAGGACATGTTTGAGTCCAAGAATGCACAGAACAAGGTATTTTTATTTCGGAGACTGGTAAATCTGAAGTACAGGGATGGTTCTTCAGTGGCAGAGCATATGAGCAGTTTTCAGAATCTTGTGAATCAGCTGACTACTATTGAGATTAAACTTCCTGATGAGCTACTTGCTTTGTTGTTGCTTAGCTCATTGCCAGACAGTTGGGAAACATTGGTGGTATCTCTGAGCAATTCCACTAATGGCAATATGACTTTTGATACTGTGAAAGAAGCCCTATTTAATGAAGAAATCAGGAGGAAGGGAAACAATACGGCTAGTTCATCGACTCACACAGAAGCCTTGGTTATTGAGTCACGGGGGAGAAGCCAACATAGAACCTCTCATAAATCTAATGACAGAAGCAAGTCAAGAGGACAGTCAAGGCCCAGGAAAGACATCAGGTGCTATCATTGCAACAAAGCAGGTCATATGATAAGAGAATGCAGGTTGCTTAAGAGGGAGAAATCAAGGGAAAGAGGCAATGATAATAAAGAAGATAAAGACACAGCTGCAGTTGTATCTGATGGTGAAGTTGTTGTTGTTTACGAAGATGATTCAGTTAATCTCGCATGCCAAGATTATGAATGGGTTGTTGATTCTGCTGCCTCATATCATGTTACTCCTCATCGTGAGTATTTTTTATCCTATACTGCTGGAGATTTTGGGCAGGTAAAGATGGGTAATCAAGGGGTAAGCAAGGTTGCTGGCATTGGAGATATCTGGGTAGAAACTAATGTTGGATGCAAGCTGCACTTGAAAAACGTTAGGCATATTCCTGATATGCGCCTCAGCTTGATTTCAGTACAGGTACTTGATGATGATGGTTACCATAATTCCTTTGGTGATGGTAAATGGAAGTGCACCAAGGGTACTTTGGTGGTAGCAAAGGGAGTGAAGAAAAACACCCTTTACTGGACTTCTACAAAATTGTGTGCCCCTCAAGTGAATGCAATTGAGGATTGTTCTACAGAGCTATGGCATAAGCGGCTCGGTCACTTGAGTGAGAAGGGACTTGACACTCTTGCAAGGAAAAATCTGCTTTCGGTGAAAGGTACACCTCTCAAAACTTGCTCTGATTGTATTGTTGGTAAACAACATAGAGTTTCTTTCCGCACTCACCCTCCTCACAGGAGGTCACATATCTTGGATTTAGTTCACACTGATGTTTGCTCTATGGATGTTAAATCCCTTAGTGGCTATTCTTATTTTGTGACATTTATTGACGATCACTCGAGAAAAGTGTGGGCTTTTGTTTTGAAATCCAAAGATCAGGTACTTGATATGTTCAAACACTTCCATGCAAGTGTGGAAAGAGAAACAGGTAAAATGTTGAAGTGTGTCAGAGTAGATAATGGTGGTGAATACAGGGGGCCATTTGAGCATTATTGCAGGGAACATGGAATCAGGCTTGAGAAGACAGTCCCAAAGACTCCACAGCACAACGGAGTTGCAGAGAGAATGAACCGCACAATTAATGACAGAATCAGGTGCATGCTCTCCCATGCAAAATTGTCTAAATCATTCTGGGGTGAAGCATTGAGAACTGCAGTAGATTTAATCAACCTTTCTCCTTCAATTCCTCTTGATGGTGATGTTCCAGAGAGGGTGTGGCGAGGGAAAGATGTCTCATATAATCACTTGAGAGTGTTTGGCTGCAAGGCATTTGTTCATATTCCCAGAGATGAGAGGTCCAAGCTTGATGGTAAATCAAAACAGTGTATCTTTTTGGGTTATGGCCGTGAAGACTTTGGTTACAGGTTTTGGGATCCGGTTAACAGGAAAGTTCTTAGAAGTCGAGATGCTATTTTTGTTGAAGACCAAACCATCGAAGATATTGACAAGAATGAAAAGCAGAAACAGGTTATCCACAGGTACATTGATGTTGATCCAGAGCCTCCTACCATAGTCAATAATAATGGGGGAGATGTGAATGCAGATGTGGACAATGCAGGTGATGTTCCTGAGCCCCAAGTTGATGAAGAAATTGAACAAATTCCACCAGAGCAACCTCCTGAGCCAGTGAGAAGATCCACCAGAGAGCACCACCCTTCACAGAGATATCCTCCTCATGAATATGTGATGCTTACTGGTGGGGGAGAGCCACAAAGCTTTGAAGAAGCTATGTCACATGAAGAGAAAGATAAGTGGTACAAAGCCATGCAAGAAGAGATGAAATCCTTACATGAGAACCACACATTTGAGCTAGTGAAGCTACCTAATGGTAAGAGATCACTCAAGAATAAATGGGTGTTTAAATTGAAGTCAGAAGAAAATAGCTCACAACCAAGGTACAAGGCAAGGTTGGTTGTGAAAGGATTCAGTCAGAAGAAAGGTATAGATTTTGAAGAAATTTTTTCACCTGTGGTCAAGATGTCTTCAATCCGAGTTGTACTTGGTTTGGCAGCTAGTTTGAATTTAGAGGTTGAACAACTTGATGTGAAGACCACATTTCTCCATGGTGATTTGGAGGAAGAAATTTACATGGAGCAGCCTGATGGTTTTGCAGTCAAAGGTAAAGAGAAGCTTGTCTGCAGATTGAAGAAGAGCTTGTATGGTCTTAAACAAGCTCCAAGGCAATGGTACAAGAAATTTGATTCTTTCATGGTGGATCATGGGTATGCAAAAACTTCTTCTGATCATTGTGTGTTTGTGAAGAAATTCCCTAGTGAGAAATTTATTATCCTTTTGCTCTATGTCGATGACATGTTGATTGTTGGTCATGATATGAAAGAGATTGAGCATTTGAAAAGAGAGTTGAGCAAGTCCTTTGCAATGAAGGATTTAGGCCTTGCAAAGCAAATCCTTGGCATGAGAATTACACGTGACAGGAAGAATTGCAAATTGTGGTTATCACAGCAAAAGTACATTGAGAAGGTATTGGAGAGGTTTAATATGTCAAATTCAAAATCAGTTGGCACTCCACTTGCAGGTCACTTCAAATTGAGCTCTATGCAATGTCCTACAAGTGAGAAAGACAAAGAAGAAATGGAGAATATTCCATATGCATCTGCAGTTGGTAGCTTGATGTATGCGATGGTGTGTACACGTCCAGATATTGCTCATGCAGTTGGCGTGGTCAGTCGTTTCCTCTCTAATCCTGGCAAAGAACATTGGCAAGCTGTGAAATGGATACTCAGGTATCTCAAAGGTACTTCTGGAGTCTGTTTGTGCTTTGGAGGTGGTAAGCCTATGTTAGATGGTTTTGCAGATGCAGACATGGCTGGTGATGTGGATTATAGGAAGTCTACTTCTGGTTATATGATGACTTTTACAGGGGGAGCAGTGTCATGGCAGTCTAGATTGCAAAAATGTGTTGCTTTGTCTACTACAGAGGCAGAGTATATTGCCGCCACAGAAGCTGCAAAGGAACTCTTTTGGATGCAGAAATTCCTACAAGAATTGGGTCTCTCACAGGAGAAATATATTTTATATTGTGATAGTCAGAGTGCAATCCATCTCAGCAAGAACTCGACTTATCACTCAAAGTCGAAGCATATTGATGTTCGGTATCATTGGATACGCGATGCGCTGGAGATGAAGAAATTTTCATTAGAGAAAATCCATACTGACGAGAATGGTTC